TAATTTTTATCTTCCCATATAGTTTTGTTTTACTTAGATCTCTTATGAGTTTATAAATACAATATTTGTAGAATCCTCTGCCATGTCTAGCAAATATTCCAAAATAAAGAGAATAGGGGGCTGGGGAGATGGCTCAGTGGGGCTGGGGAGATGGCTCAGTGGAATAAGCGCTTTCCTAGCAAGCGCAAGGGCCTGAGTTCAATCCCTGGTTCTGGTGCTGGGGAGATGGCTTAGTGGAAAAGCACTTCCCTAGGAAGTGGAAGGGCCTCAGTTCAATCCCCGGTTTGGCCAAAAAAAAAAAAAAAATCCCTGGTTCCGCAAAGAGAGAGAGAGAGAGAGAGAGAGAGAGAATGAATAGGAATGAACAATGAGAGTCACCCATTCAGACAGAATGTTCATGTAAATGTTATGAAATTTAAAAGCTATATGAGAAACATTCGATATTGTAATCCTTTACCTTCTAAATGCAATGAATTGTGATGTTTCTGGACTTTTAAAGTCATTTTCTTGCAGTAAAGCTTTAACCGCAGAATATAAATCTGATAATTCAAAAGAAAAAAGTTAATACAAAAAATATTTCAAATGAGAAATTAATGCAGAATTTCTCATAAGGAGACCAGTGACAATATCCCATCAAGTAAAATACAAATCCACTTCCTTCCCTACACAGCATAGAGGGCCAGGAAAGAGAATGGAGAACAGGGTTTCAGATGTTCACGACCATCTATGCCGTGCCACCCTGAATGCACCCAATCCTGTCAGATCTTTGTAATCAGGAGAGCAGCTCCTCATCTGCAATATATCCACCACAGAGTCACTGATGATTTGTCAACACTGAACTTAAGAAATGAGCAAGCATACAAAATGTTAAACTCCTAATTTAAAACTTTAATCCCTGTGGTCCTATTACTAACGAGTTAGAATTTGAGAACCTGTATCCTTTCTTTGCTTTTTCCTTTAATACTCGCAATACCCACACAAGGTAGGTACTATACTATATCCATAACTGATAGTCACCTGATACATAACAGTATACAGTATCAAGACCTTTCACTGTTGGCTGGGAAATGTCACTAACACCCAGCACCACAATGCCCAACCAACCTCCCATCCCACACTTTTTCCCTCCCCCAGACACCCCCATGCTTCAGCCTCTAAAACAATAGCTGTGCAGAGAGGAGCTGCTGGGGCTCACGCCTACCAGCTAGTAAGCAGTTTGACCACTTTTTAGGTCCATATCACGAGTGTGAAAATGAAAGCTCATGGTGGCAGTTTTTCAGGGGGGCAGGGTGGCTGACTTCTTTTTTAGATTTCAGATGACTAACCACGCAACAGGCAGGGACAATAAGTCCCTTCACATTAGGATACTGACAAGCAGGCTTTCTCTAATCTCATAGCAATGATACAAAAGTAACCATTTCTCAAGTGAAAAAATCATTCAACGAAAATCTGGGGAGACACTACCAGACTCTTGCGTATTTCACTAGTAGCAGGTGAATCATGGGAGAATTGAAAAGACCGGACATTGTGATGCCCTGCTCGAAGAGGGCTAATTTGCTTACCAAACCATTCATTTATTTATTCACTCTTTCATTTTGATGAAGACAGAAAATGGCCATTATCTCTAGAAAATGGCCAGAATTGAGCTTGTCTCCTAGCTTGCTGGCTTGCCAAAACAAAAACTTCCAAAGGCCCCCCAAAATATTGCTTGCATTTACACACACAGGATTGTGCTGCTAGTACCTTGCTTTTTCACCCTCTGTTTATCATGTAGATCAGTATTTATTTCATTGACTCTAAGATATAGATTTTATTTTTTTTTAAATAAACTTCTTTTCTTTTTTATTTTTTTAATTTTTTTTTTTATTTATTTGAGAGAGAGAGAGAGAGAGAGAGAGAGTGAGAGAGAGAGAGAGAGTATGTGGTGTGTGTGTGTGGCCAGCTCAGCCCACCAGGGGGCGGGGCTGGCCGGCATGTGGTGCTGGGGGATCCAACCGCGGTCCCTGATGCCTCTGCTAAGCTTGTTCCAAGTAGGCGCTCCAGACCACTGAGCCAAAAGATATAGATTTTAGCATCTCTGAAATTCTAGTTCAGCTATGAATCCTGTTTTAGGTCTCTGTACTTTGTAATAATGGACATAATTTACTTTAAAAGTCATTTAATTATTAATAAAGAAATACTACATGTTTCTCTAAGGCATATTTACCCAATTTTCCTAAGGGATTACTTTTCTAGCAGACTTTTTAAAATTGAGACATATAATCAGAGCGTGGCCCACACTGTGGCCGTGACCAGCCAGCAGCCCAGAAAAGTCAGAAGCACCAGTAACAGGGCTGGGGAGATAGCTCAGCGGTCTAAGCACCTGCCTGGCGACCACAAGGACCCAGGTTTGATCCTTGGTACAGCATGCCGTGCCAGCCCAGGTGCTTAGCCAGCCACCAAAACTGGGTATGGTGGGGCATGCCTGTAATCCCAGTGCTGGGAAGGCTGAGATAGAGAGATCACTACAATTCTGAGCTGTACAGTGAGAGTATAAATAATTTAAAAAGAAGAAGAACCAGTGAGAAGAGGAGCCAGCAGTGGTGAGTGAGGTGACCTGAAACCATGCTTGGGCTGATACATGCACAGGAGCACGTGGGCAGGGTGACCATTTTCTTTCAAAGGTCTCAGGGCAAACTCAGGTAGCAGGACAGCCCCAGGCTGCCTCACTACTAACTTCCTAGAGTGGACTGAGGGAAGAGCACCCAGTCACAGTAGACTGCCAGCAGATTAGAGCACAGTAAGGGGAATTCTGCTGAGAGGTAGGAGCTAGGATAACCTAGACTTTCCTTCAGTGCCTACCAAAGACCATTCTTAGCCCTAGGTACAATGAACTGGAAGTATTCCCCTGGTCTGAGACCAGCAGAATGGTTTCAGCCCAGCAGCATATGCAGGCAAGCAAATTCAGCCTGCAGCAGAACAAGGGCAATCCCCTTCCCAATGACCAGTGTGGAAGAACAGTTAGTAGTGTGGAGTAGAGGAAGCTGTGAGAGGTCCAGAAGGAGCCAACTGTGCCCAGGTCTGGGAGCAGCCCCAGGTTTTCTCTTCCAGAAGGCACCATAGCAACTGGGAGAGTGAAGCAGAGGCAATCACAGGAAAGAGGAGTAGACATCCAGAACACTAAGACCACTGCCAGCCCCCAAATCCAGAGGCCAAGATCAGTCTCATACCTAGCAAAATCCCACTGTAAACTTGGTGAGATCACATAACACATTTCTGAGATTCACCCTGGACACTACCACATTCCCATCCTTAATCAACTGGTTATTGAGATAGACACAAAAATCAAGAACCACCTATACTTAGAAGATATCCCTGAGGAACAGCCATTTCCTAGAGAAGCCTTGATACTAGTGATGAAGCTATGTACCATTAAAAATCTACTAGCATCAACATATAAAATAAAATTTAAAAAATAGAAAGAAGAGGGCCAAAGATATAGATCAGCAGTATAAACATCTGCTGGCAAGCACAAGGTCCTGAGTTCAATTACCCGGCACCACAAAGCAAGCAAGCAAGCAAGCAAGCAAGCAAGCAAGAAAGAAAGAAAGAAAGAAAGAAAGAAAGAAGAAAGAAAGGAAAGATAGACAGAAAGAAAGAAAAGAAATGAAAATGAAAATGACAGGAGACACAGAAGCAAAATGCACCCCAGACCTTCAACCTACCCAGGAAATGTCCAGAGCAAAATGATATAGACAAAATTGCATGCCACTTACAGGAACTTTCTGAAATGATAGCAACAGAAGTGAAAAAACAAATGGATGAAGTCATAGATAAAATAATCTCTCAGGTAAAAAAAAAAAAAAATGACCATCAAAATGTAAAACAGAGCAGACACAGATAAAAATAATAGAGGAGTTTAGGGAAATGATAAAAACCAAGAATGCCCAAAATAGGAAAGAAACAGAATCCATTAATCAGATCCAAACAGGAATCTAGAAGATTAAGAAATCCACTTAATGTATATGCAACAGAGTGAGAGAAGGCAGGGATAGGATATCAGATCTAGAAGACAGGACTGCAGCTAGGAATTGCCATCATGGAAAGAAAGATATCTTAAAAATAGCAAAGGACCATGAAAAATCAAACAGCTAAATGATGAAGCAAACAAGAACAACATAAGATTGACTGGATTCCACAAGAAGACAGAGATAATGCAAACGTCATTAAAAAAAAAACAACAACAAAAAAAAACCTCCTCACAGAAGTAATTGTAGAAAGCTTCCCAAACAGGAATAAAGAATTTGACATATAAATAAATGACAAATATACAACTCCAAATAGCCATGACCAAAATAAAGCTACACCAAAGCATATAATAATCAAGATTCTAAAACTTCAGCACCCCCCCCCAAAAAAAAGAATATTAAAAGCAGTTAGAGAAAAGAAACAAGTCACCTATAAAGGAAAGCTCATCAGAATCACTGCAGACTTCTCAACACAAACCCTCAAATCAAGGAGAACTTGGAGTGAGGTATTTCAAGGCTTAAAAGGAAACACCCTTCAACCCAAATTAATGTACCCTGAGAAACTATCTTAAAAAACCAATGGAGAAAGCAGACACTTCCATGACAAAGAACAACTGAGGAAATTCATGACCAATAAACAAGCTCTTCAAAATGCTCTGAAAAGGGGCGGGGGAGATGGCTCAGTAGAATAAGCGCTTCCCTGGCAAACGCAAGGGTCTGAGTTCAATCCCTGGTTCTACAAAAAAAAAAAAAAAAAAAAAAAAAAATTAACAAAATGCTCTGAAAGATATTTTAAGACAAGAAAACAGCAACCATTATTACAAGGGCACCAATAAAAACAAACAAACAGACAAAGAAACCACCAGGAAGAGAAAGCAATTAAACATAAGGGGAAGAGGCAATGAACAATAGGAATAAAGAATTTGACATATAAATAAATGACAAATATACAACTTTTTTAATGCAGATGAAAAATGAGGTATGATAGAAACAGCATTTCTGTTTTATTTTCATCATTTTTTGATGAGGAGACATAGGTATAAAGTTACTGAGGGCTAAAAGCCCTCAAACCAGAGCTTGTAAATGACAGTCTTAGAAATGTGCTGGGAGCCGGGGAGATGGCTCAGTGGAATAAGCGCTTCCCTGGCAAGCACAAGGGCCTGAGTTCAATCCCCGGTTCTGCAAAAAAAAGAAAAAAAAGAAAAGAAAAAGAAAAAAGAAAAGAAAGAAAGAAAGAAAAGAAAAAGAAATGTGCTGGCACCATTTCTGCTCAGCCTTGCCTGAGCAGAAAAAAATATGAGAAGGATAAGGTAATACATATCAATTGCAACTATCAATGTAAATAGTCTCAATTCACCAATCAAAACAAACTGACTGGCAGAATGGATCCAGAGGCAAGATCTGACAATATTCTGCATAAAAGACATGCATTTTACTCAAACAGAAATTCACAGAATAAAAGCGAAAGGGTGGAAACAACAACCCATGTGACAGTACACCCAGAAAAAAGCATGGGCAGTTAGCTATTCTAT